GATATAAAGAAGAAACATTTTTGTATAGCTGTACATGTATTTATATTTTAAGCTAAGTGTTATTACAGAAGTCAAAAAGTTAAAAAAATTAAGACATTTATAATGTAAAAAAAGTTATAAACTAAGGTTAATTTATTGTTGAAGAAAAAATTTTAATAAATTTAGCATAAATGTACAGTGTTTGTAAAGTTGTAGTAGTGTATAGTAATATCCTAGGCCTTCACATTCATTCACCACTCATTCAAGGACTCACCTAGAGCAACTCCCAGTCCTGCAAGCTCCATGTGCAGTAAGTGCCCTACACAGGTATACCATTTTTTATCTTTTATGCCATATTTTAACTGTATTTTTTCTATGTTGAGATATGTTTAGATACATAAATATTTATCATTGTGTTACAGTTGCCTACAGTACTCAGTACATGAGGTATGTTTGTAGCCTAGGAGCAACAGCCTATACCATATACCCTAGTCTATACCATTGAAAGTTGTGTAAGTACTCTATGATGTCGGCATAATTTCTCAGAATGTATCTCTATCATTAAGGGACACATGACTGTATATACATTTCTAAAACTGATCTAAGAAACTCATCTGTCCAAGAAGTTGAGGCACATCTTTTCCCCTCCCCTTTCATCACTTCCATTCTTCCAGTTTACAAAGGAAAGGTGTTCACACATCCTAATCTCCACCCTCCCAGTGATCTAAAGTATAAAAACTTTTGGGCATCAATTAAATATGTTTAAATAAAAAGTTTCTGAAACCTCAACTAAGAGATAATTTGATAATTCCTTTAATAAAGGCACCATACACATTTACTCAAATTCACCTCTTTAAAAGTTGTATGTTCAATAAAATTTTACTTTTTGCTTAACTATTTATCAAAATTAGTCCATATTGTTTTTATCATTTGTATATTACTAATTATAATAATTCAATCCAGAAAAAAGTTTTAACAATTGGAGTCTTATAATGACAGAAAATAGCAATATAAATATATTCTTTGACATAGAAAAGATAAAAGAACTTTTGAAGCATAAGATTAAATTACATTAGGAAAAATTCAGTGAGAGAAATAAAATAGAAATAAGGTCAAGAGGAAAAAGCAACTATGTAGAATGTCCAGCAGTTAAGAGTTTGTTCATATTTTTTTTAAAAATGGATGACATGATTATCCAACCACTATTATATTTATATTCTATTAGAAAAGAATGATTATAGCATTTTTAAAATGTCAATATTCATGATACAGCCAGGAAATTATATTCTTTGCACCTGTTAAAAATTATGATAAATACTTTTAGATACCAACTTAAAAATACATAGAAAAGTAATTAGATTTCCATTTTATTTTTTTTAGAAACAGTCTCACTCTGTCACCCAGGCTGGAGTGCAGTGGCCCCATTATAGCTCACTGTATACTTGACTTTCTGGGCTCAAGTGGTCCTCCTACCTCAGCCTTCCCAGTAACTGGGACTACAGGAACACGTCATCACATTTAAACATTAAAAACAAAAGTTTTAATTTTTTTGTAGAAACAGAGATTCATTATGTTGCCCAGACTGCTCTCCAACTCCTGGCCTCAAGCAATGCTCCACCTTGACTTCCCAAAGTGCTGGGTTTACAGGTGTGAGCCACTGTGTCTGGCCCAGATTTCCATTTTAAAAGATCACTGGCAGTAATGTGGAAAATAAACTGGAGAGAGAGAAATTAAGAGGCCGTTTGAGAGACTTGTTATATAGCCCAGACAAGAAGGTATTATGGCCAAACCTAGGGAAATGGAATAGTAAGAACAGAACAGATCCAAGAGGCAGAATTAGAGGGGATGAAGAAGAGGGGATGGATTCTAGAGATCTTAAGGAAACTTTTTATATGTGTAATAGTGAGGAAGATGAACGAGTCTTTGATTGACCCTAGGTTTCTGCTAGGAATACTGGTTTAAAATAATGGGGGCACTCCCTAAAACGGGTAATATACCAGATTTGAGGAAACAGTGAGTTCAGTTTTGGGCATTTGAGTTTGACATGCTTATGGGACTGAAGGTGAAGACCAACCACAGCTTTTATAAAAAATGGATCTAAAGTATAGCAGGTCTTGAATAAGATCATTTCATTGCATGTCATTTTATTAAACTATTGATGAAAAAAATCAATTCCTGGTTATGGCCAGTCTCTGTGGAGTTTGCATGTTCTCCCCATGTCTGTGTGGGTTTTTTCCTGGTACTCTGGTTTCCTCCCACATCCCAAAGATGTGCATGTTAGGCTCCTTAGCATGTCTACATGATCCCAGTGTGAGTGTGGGTTATGTGTGTGAGTGCTCCTTGTGTTGGGATGGTATACTATGTAGGGCTGGCTCCTGCCTTGCACCCTAAGCTTCCAGGATAGGCTCTGGTCACCCATGACCTGGAACTGGAATAAGGGTGTCAGAAAATGAATGAATACAAATAATTGTAAAACAAAAATTCATAAAGTATACAATAATCATGCAAATGCACAAAATAAACAATATGGTACAAAAGGGCTCAGCAAGCTGCCATATCTGTGATTGCTTTTGAACTGTCTGGTGGTGGGAGGTGCTCCTTACAATTATCCCTTTGCAAACATTTACTCCTTGATTTAACCCAGGGGTCCTCAAACTTTTTAAACAGGGGGCCAGTTCACTGTCCCTCAGAACGTTGGAGCCAGACTATAGTTTAAAAAATATATGAACAAAAAAATATGAATAAATTCCTATGCACACTGCACATATCTTATTTTGAAGTGAAAAAACAAATAGGCAAAAACACCCACATGTGGCCCACGGGCCGTAGTTTGAGGACACCTGATTTAACCCATCACCACTACAACCACTGTCACTCATTCATTCACCAAAACTGGAGTAAATAATTATCTTACTTGTTTTTAACAATTTTTCTTAAATGTATGTATGGCTCACATTTATTTCAATGTTTAATATTAAAAGCATTTGGGGTCTTTATTTAGAAGGTTGGTGGTGTTTTTGTGACCAGAAATATGCCATTGAACTTAACTCTTGTTTATATCAATTAGTCTATGGTTGTAAAATTCGTTTTATTATATACATTGTTTTGTTGTTTTGTTTAAAGTAACAGTTTCCAAAAACCTATCAACAATGTTAAGTGAGGACTTACTGTACAAGAAATGGAAGGTTGTAGGCAGTAGTGGAAGAAGCCTGATTATATGGCTATGATCATCCTTGGGAGTAGGTAGAAGAAAAGGGGCCAAGGATAGAACACCAACAGTGAGGGGAAGTGAGAAGATGGTAATTTAGATTTCAGTGGGAAACATATAATAATGAATGAATTTCAGCGCCTATTGCATAATAATGAATATTTGTGAATAGGGGAGACGGAGGGGGAAAAGTAGACAGATGGAATGGAGAACTGGGAGAAAATCTGTCACAAAATAGAAGCTGAACAGCTTCCTCCAGGACACACAAATAGTAAGGAGTAGAGCTGTTAATTAAAACCCAGGCAGTTTAACTCTTAAAACAAAGCTCTCAACTAACACTGCGCACACTGCCACTCATGACACAGAAGGCAGAGAAGTTACTCAGGCAAACTCCTAGGGTAGACAGAAGAGAAGCATTTGTAAGGAGTATAATTATAAGATTATCTAAGAGGGAAGTAAGGATGGCATAAAGTTTTAGATTGAGAGCAGGAAGTTGAGGGACTACTCCTCGGTCTCCTTCTTCAACATCCTTTTACTAGACCTACCCCTTAAATAAAAAAATTCGCTGCTGTTTTTTTTTTGTTTTCCATTTGGTTTCATTGGGAAGAAGGATCTCTGGATATAGACGACTTTTAAATGAGTAGAATTTCATTTCTGTCCAAGGTTAGTCTGGGTAGTTAACTCCTTTATCAGAAATTTATCAAAAAGTTTCAAACCTAAACTCAAATCTCCTAATTGCCAATGTTTTAACACGGGAACATAAGGAACTGTAGAAAATAAACTGGATTTCTACATACTAACATGAGAATATGTCCGATTTATACCATTAAATTGAAAAACAAAACATTTTGATCTCATTTCTGAAAATAATAAATATTACTTCTGGCATCAAAAAACATCTGGAATAATATACTTATATCTATTAACAGTGGGCATTTCTGGAGGACGTGATTATGGGCATCCTTCACTCTATAATTTAGAATTTTTATGACCACGTAGCCATGCGGGGGGAGGAGGAGGTTTTGACCCTGCAAAAAAGAAATGTCCTGTCTTCTCTGCTTGGCCGAGCTCCTTAACAGCGGTCATATTCACCGGTGTATCACAGCAAACAGTAGGGCTCATTAAGGTTCTACAGCAAACGAATGAATTAATCAAATATGAGTTTTGATGATCTCACATAGTTGTTGAGAGACACAGAGCAACGCCCACACACACAAAAATGCATGCCATTTCCAGCTAACGCGCAGTACAGACATGAGGCTGCAACGGGCTTCAAGGCCAGTTAACTCAACGTTCCTCCTTTCTTCGGCCTACACTACGATTTAAAAAGCCCGATTACGATCAAAAGTGTCCCGAAGTTATGAAAGTACAGCTTTCTTCAGTAGTTCAACTAATTCACTCTTCCCCTGTGAGAACTCGGCGGCTGGGAAACAGAACTGGAGTCGGCCGTGGTCGGAGGCGGCGTGTGTTTGTGGGGGAGGTGAATCCCGCCGGCCACGAGCAGCGGTTGGGACCGTTACTCACCACTCCTCAGGACGCCAAGCTGGGGCTGGCGGAGCACCGAACTGAAGAGCATCTGGGCCAGAGGAAAAAGCTCAGCGGAGGAAAAATGCCGTGGCAATGCCCCCAAGATCACCAGAAATCGTAACTTCCACCCTTTTCACCACGACTCGTTATTGCCTCCAACTCCCGCCACTGTAAGCCCCGGCCGCCAAACTCCGCGCCAAACTGACGTCACGCTCCCTGATTGGCTCCCGCCGCGGCATCCGGGCGCTTCGGAGTCACTTCCCCTTTCCTATCCCCGCCTCCTTTTCTCCCAGCCGCGGGAACCCAGCGTCCAAGAGCTCCCTGAGCGCCTGCGCGGGGGGCCGCAGAGGGGCTGCCGAACCGCGGGGTAATGAAGGCGCATGCGTAACACGGCTTGACAGCGCGCGGAGGGAAAAATCCGCGAGAGAGCGGCGGGGGAAGATGGCGGTTCTAGGGCCGCGTTTGCAATCTTTCTGATTAGGCTAGACGCGTAACTGTTCGGGTCATGGCGTCAAACTCAACTAAGTCTTTCCTGGCCGATGCCGGCTATGGAGAACAGGAACTGGATGCTAACTCTGCCCTTATGGAATTAGACAAAGGTATTCAAAAGAGCGGGATGCGCGGGCGAATCGCGTGCTGGGGGCAGTGGCGCCACCAGGTGGTGGTCGTCTCGGGAGAGGCCCGGAAGGCGCATGCGCATAGCTTCGGTGGGCGGGGCGTGCCTGTGCTTTTGCTGGGGCTAGGGCTTGGGCGGCTGCGAGTGATGGCGAAGATAATTGCAGGAAAACTCAGGATTGCCGGATTGGCCGTGCACCAGCTGAACAAGTGGGAACTCTAGTGAGAGGCCCGTTTTGACCATTTGAGGGCACAATCTCTAGCTTTTCCAAGCAGGGAAAGCGGCTGGCAGGTTTCTAAAGACACCGCATTGAAATTGTGAAATTATTTTTTGAGTCCGTTCAAGTTGAGACCAGGTCTTCAAGAGTGTCGAATAACATTCTTGCACCGACTTTATAAGCGACTCATATTATTTCCGTAGCTCTCTTACCTGCGGGTTACAAGGCAGGTTAAATACAACTAACACCATAGGCAAAGCATGGCACCTGCTCCTTCTCTGCAGACAAGTTCCAGGAGTTCTGTTTTCTTAGAGAGGACAGCTTCGTGTAGACGGCTTTGTGGTCACACTGAGTTAAATTACAGATCCGTTAATTTTGTAATTATGGGCAAGTCACCTAACTTCACCTAGCCTCGATTTATTGTCTGCAAAGTGAGTACCGTACCACTAAACTGGGAAAATTGTTGTTTTAAGAGATACATTGTTATGTAAAAGAAGCATTTACCTTCTTTCTTATATATGGATTTGGGAGGCAAAGCAGAAATTTGTCAGTAAAGAACTCGAGTATTAATATGAAACTTTTGTTTGTTCCTAGATATTTTTGTTTTATGGAGGAAACATTTTGTCAGGTGGTATACACTTAAATCTTGATTAACCATAGCCAGTGTATCATGTATGGAGAACTGGATTAAAAGTCAGAAGGGTCTGTCTTTATGTCCACTTTGAGCCATTTCCCAGCTCTCTGACTTGGACATGTCTATTAACTTTCTGGGGACTGTCTTGTTTTGTTTGTTTTGTTTTGTTTAACCTATAAATATTTTTAGTGGGTTTGTCTAGATAAGAGTTTCTCAGACTTTTTTAAAAGCTTTTACCTCCTTTTGATCAACATAAAAATGTCACAATACTCCAGTGGAGTTGTCCTTTGGTTGAGTCACAGTATCTTAATACATGCCCCTCAGCCAAGATAATGATCTTGAGCTTTTCTTTCTCTAACCAAATCTATTGGCTTTTTCTCCTCTGAATTATAAACTATAAATTCTAAACTATATAATTACAAATTATAAAACTATGATATGAAATGTATTTTTTAAACACTGCATAATCTTTTCCTCCCCATTGTGATACACTCTTTCCTTATTCCCCAGTGAGAGTTGCAGGTCTGGATAAAATCTAATATCCCTACCAGGACATTTTCTTTTCTTTTTTTTTTTTCCATCTAAAGTATGATGATCATACTACCTGGACATTTTCTACCACTGTGGTCCAGCTGAGTTTGTCCCATGCTGACAGTAGGGTAGCGGTTGTAGAACAAGGATTTTTTGGTTTTTGTCCCTATAGTTTTACCTCTTCCAGAATGTCATATACGACAAAATTGTAAAGTACGTATAATCTTTTGGATCTGGCTTCTTTCACTCAGCATAATAGTTTTGAGATTGTTTTATCTGGTTAAAATAAGATGATCAGAGTATGATATCACAAATTACATAGTTTATCGCCATACAGAGATTTTTGACCAACAGTGGTTTGACCAACACAGCGGAGATCCATGAGGACACACAAAGTTCTTCAACATTAGGAGCAGTGCCAGTGTTGGGGAGGTGGATTACATGCTAAGTCTTTTTTACACTCTCAGTTCTTATCATAGCAGAACACATGTCACTGACAATGGCAAACTGTGTAAGTGTTTGCAGTCATTTCAAAGCTACACAGTAGAGATCTACCCATGTTGTTGTGTGAATGAGTAATTGGTTCCTTTTTTATTGCTGAGGAGTGGTTAATTGTATGAATGTATCATAATTTATTCATTCACCAGCTGATGCACATTTGGATTGTTTCCAGTTTGGGGCTGTTAAGAATAAAGCTGCTGTGAACATTTGCATACAGATCTTTATGTAGACATATGTTTTTGTATCACTTTGGTAAATATCTTAACTGTAGGCTCACTATGTGTATAAGTAAGTATATGGTTACCTTTATTAAGGGCCAAAATGTTTACTAAAGAACTGTATCATTTTGCATTCCCACCAGCAATGTGTGAGAGTTACAGTAACTTCATATCCTCATTAGCGCTTGGTATTGTCAGTCTTTTTAAATTTTTTGTCATTCTAGTGGATGTGCAATGGTATGTTGTTGCAAATTTTAATTTTCATTTCTCTGATGACTGGCACTGTTGAGCATCTGTTCATGTGCTTATATTTTCCATCCATGTTTCCTCCTTACTGAAATTTCCCTTCAAATCTTGTCCATTTAAAAGACTGTATAGTTTTATAGAGTTATAACACCTATGAAGTCCTTTATCAGATACAAGTTTTGTAAATAATTTTTTCCGGTGTGTGGCTTGTCTTTTCATCTTCTTAACAGTATCTTTTGAAATGTAGACATTTTTAATTTTGATGGAGTTCAACTTAGCACTTTTTAATTTTATGGTTCATGCTTTTTTTTTTTTTAATGTGTTTTTTTGTTTGTTTGTTTTTATTTATTTTTTTTTCTTTTTTTTTTTTTTTTTTTCTTTCTACCTGAAGCTGAAATGTTTGTTTTTAGAGACTGGGTCTAGCTTGTTGCCCAGGCTGATCTCAAATTCCTGGGCTCAAGAAATCGTCCCACTTTAGCCTCCTGAGTAGCTGGTACAACAGACATGCACTGCTTTTTGTGTTTTATCTAAGAATTCTTTCCCTAACCTAAGCCCATACAGTTTTTCCCTGTGTTTTCTTCTACATGGTGTATAATTTTAGCCCTTGCATTTAGGTCCATGGTTCATTTTGAATAAATTTTTGTATATTATGCAAGGTAAGGGTTGAGGTTCATTGTTTTTGCTTATGGATATCTAGTTTTTCTAGAATCACATGTTAAAAAGATTATACTTTCCACATTGAATTATGTTGGTACATTTGTTAGATTGTTGATGTGAGAACTGTCCTCTTTCCAAATAGAAACATTCAGTGTTACAAATGTTGCTTGAAGCACTACTCTAGTTGCATTCCATAGATTGTGTTTCATTTTCATTCAGTTCAAAATAGTTTTCTAATTTTCCTTATTTCTTCTTTCACCTATGGGCTATTTAAAAGTGCATTGTTTAGATATTTTTCTCTTATTGATTTCTAATTTAATTCCATGCGGTTAGAGAACATATATGATTTCAGTCCTTTTAAATTTATTGAGGTTTATTTTATGGCCTTAAATATTTTAAATCAAATCTTAACCTTTTAAAAAATTGTTTCATTTTCATTGTTAATCTATCTAAAGGTGGCAGTTTCCAAATTACTGTTTTATATACCATTTTTATTTTTAAAAGGGTAATCACGTACAATTGTACTTTACCTAATTGTTAAGAATGATTGTTGCTTTACTGTGTAATAAGTTGGTATTTGCTATTTTTCCTTTGTAGCCACAAATTTGTAAGCTGCTCCCCCCTCTCTGTACTCTTCATAGGTCTAAGATCTGGCAAACTTGGTGAACAATGTGAAGCAGTTGTTCGCTTTCCCAGACTTTTTCAGAAGTATCCATTCCCTATTCTCATCAATTCTGCATTCCTGAAGTTAGCTGATGTTTTCAGAGTTGGGTAAGTCTTTTTAAAGCCTCATTGTCCTTAAGGACTTTGTTCATGTTTCTTTGTTTTATATTGTGGTCCTTTTCTTTTTGCCTTTTAGGACTTTCCATGGTTAGTTACCATGTTAGTGGATACACATGACTGTACACAGCACTCTAGTGTGAGATTTAATGACATTTTAAACAAAAATGAAAGGTATAATTTTAGAGAATACTTGTTTGGGCAACAAGATAAAATGAAGACAACCTTAATATTTTAATTACTATATATTTCAGAAAAATCTGTGGCTTTGTACAGGTTGTTTTGAGAAGTTTCTGATTTAATTTAATAACTTATATAACATGAGATTCATGGCTGTGAAGTACCGAAATATGTAAGCACTGAATGAATACCCATTTCCTTTTTTCTCTCCCTACTATTCCCTCTCCTACTTTTTTCTGCCATTCTCCTGCACTCATATGCTCGTATATACACAAGTCAGACTTGAGAAAGAAAAGAAGTTATAGAATTAGCCCAAGACAAGAGAAGGACCATGATCTCCTGGCCTTGGATTTGGTAATTTGAGGAGATTTATTTCTCCAGGGCTTTTCCTTGTGTCAGCACCATTTTGGTGTCTCGCAGCAGGACTGCAGGCATAGCTGACTGCTTATGCTGAACACCTACCTGATGCGCAAATGTTAGGTAACTCTTCTAGTGGTGAGACAAATAATGATAAGATTGAAAAACATTAGCCTGTCACTGAAATTTAATATCATCAGTGTTGCTTTGGTCCCTAATTAAATATTCCTTTCTAAATTGGCCTAATTTATTTTACCTCTGGTTTTCCTAGAAACAATTTCCTGAGACTGTGTGTTCTTAAAGTTACCCAACAAAGTGAGAAGCATTTGGAGAAGATTCTAAATGTGGATGAGTTTGTGAAGAGGATTTTCTCTGTGATTCATAGTAATGACCCTGTGGCAAGAGCCATCACACTCCGGTATACTGTTGTGCTGTAATGATTCACTATAAGATTATTTGAGTTGTAATTATGTACAAAAAAGCAATATATTTACTTTGTTCATTTTGAATATTAAGGAGCTGTTTTGGTTTTTTGACTAAGATTCAGTGCAAAATATGATAACCATCCCAATCTGTAAGTGCTTTTCAGTTAACATCTATGGTACTGTTTTGGTTGTAAACTGTTGTCTAACTTGTGTTTGAAACATTTCTCTGTGTAGGTGGATGTTCTGATCAAATAACTTGGTGCATCTTAATATAGCTTAGGCTCAGCTCATTTTGAACTTTTGCCTTCCTAACCTTGTTCTTATTGTTTCCTGTCAGTTTTCCATATTCTCCCATGGGTATATGATCATTTTTGTATGTGATAGTTTATATTTGAACTCACTGGAGGACATCAGATATAACCATTGTAGTGTAGTTTCTTTAGTGTTTCCTTTTCTTTCTTGGCATTCTTTAAAAATTTTTACTTTTTTAGAATTTCATTTTGTAAGCCTCATATCCAGCTTGGACCATATTCTCTTTTTAGCTTTGCCATTTATAGAATCATATGTATAACTTTTGGATTTATTTGGAAATTCACTTGCCTAAATTATTATAGGGTTCATTTCTGACTTACCCTACCCAGTTAATTCTCTCTTTAACCAGGACATCTAGGATGTCCCTTTCCCCCCAACTTTCCTTTTTTCTACGTAAGGAATCAGTTCTTCTTTCTTTTTCAGAATTAAGTACTTTTGTCATTCTTCTTCCTTTTGAGTGATAAAATTGTGAACATCATGGAATATTTTAAAGACAGTTAATTGATTTTTATCTTTTAAAAGCTATATTCAACAGAACAGAATTTAAATTTAAGATGTTCTTATCCTCTGCTTCAGTAAATTAACCTATAGGAATTTTTCAATAAATCAATTTTAAAAGTTGGTGAATATATGTGTGCAAATGATTATAGTATCATTTTTATAAAATGAAAAATTGGGGGGAAAATCATGTGTCTATCAAAATAGAAATAATTATGTCTTTGTATTCATTTTTGTCAGTTAATTCTAATATATATGTTGATATGGGCTCAGAAAAAGATCTTGGGGAGCATATTCTGTTAACAGTGATTATTTTGGGCAGGAGTCACTGGGTTATGGACCTCAGGGGACCTTTCCGTATGGTTTTGTAATGTTTGAATTGTTTTCCACAAGCATAGGTTATTTATTTTTAATTGGAAGACAATAAAGAAGAATAATAGAATTTAACCAATACAATGAATTTTATAAACTTTATAAATAATTTAGAGCTAGCCTAAATATTTTGAAAAGAATGTGGATTAATATTTGAATATTCTATTCATTTTGTATGCTTGCCCTTCTCTGAATCATGGCAGTTGAGCCTTGCCTCAATTCTTCTTCTTCTTCTTCTTTTTTTTTTTTTTTTTGAGACAGAATCTCACTCTGTTGCTTGGGCAATGTTGTCATCGTAGCTCACTGCAACCTCAAACTCCTGGGCTCAGGTGATTCTCGTGTCTCAGCCTCCCAAGCAAGTGGGACTGTAGGTGCACATTACTACACCTGGCTAATTTTTATGTTTTTTGTAGAGATGGGGTCTCTCTCTTGCTCAGCCTAGTCTCAAACTCTTGAGCTCAAGCCATCCCACCATCTCAACCTCCCAGAGTGCTAGGATTGCAGAAGTGAGCCACTGCGCCTGGCCTTTGAAATACATTTTAAAAAATTACATCCATAGATAGAGGAATGGATAGATATGTGATAAAGCAAGTTTAGTAAACTATCAATGGTAGAATCTAGGTGGTAGGTATTAAAGTGTTTATTGCAAAATTCTTTCAACTTTGCTGTATGTTAAAAATTTTTCATAGTAAAATGTTGGAAAAAAATTTTAACCTACATTTTAATATATTTAGCCCCAAGCTAAACATGTCATTTTAAAATGTGTTTGTTGACAAATTATACTTTTTCCCACTAAATCAAAGTAGTAAAATATATAGTGTGTGTCATTTGTTTAATGACCCATCACATTGGAAAGTTTACTTGGGATGTTGACTTTGAAGAAGGTTGTCATTGTGGGAACATTGCAGATTTTGTTTATTGCAGTGTTTTGCAGGTTTCTAAAATCTATGCCTTTCTGCTGGAAGGATATTTAAAGCTGTACTTTCTGTAGTTTACAAACAATAGTTTTTTTCCTTTTCTAAATTTATAATTTCATTATAAAGTGGACTATATTTTCCAAACTGTACCTTCCTCCATATTGCAGATTCTGGTATGGGCCCCAGGGGCATCCTATATCTCTGTTCTCTTGATCTTGAGGAGAGATTTAAATTTCATCATATCAGTATTTACTGATGTGGAAAAAAAGATTGTGGGAAGTCGTACTTTTTTTTTTTTACTCGGTGTGTCTGCTTAATAGAAAACATGTATCTTTAATGCTTTGCAAAAATGGACTTCTTTATGTAACATTGGAAAATTGATATTTCAGTGCTTTAATAATTCAGAAGTTTCTTTTCTGGCCCCTGTTTGGTACTTGGGATGTATTTCAAGATGATTTTTTAAATCTTTGCTTGTGTTAGGTAAGCCATTTTAATTTTTTGACATATTGAAGTAAGTAAAATTGTTCAGAATTTGAGTCACTGCTTGATACCTTAAAATTATGCTTTATTAACCTGAGATTTATAGAATTACCCACAAACTTTTGGTAAGTTAGCCTTGCCCCTTCTTTTCCTGACCTTGAGTTTAATGTATTTCCATTCTTCCTGCGTTTCTCTGCTTCTGTAGGATGTTGGGAAGTCTGGCATCCATAATTCCTGAGAGGAAGAATGCTCACCACAGTATTCGTCAGAGCTTGGATTCACACGATAATGTAGAAGTCGAAGCTGCTGTTTTTGCTGCTGCAAACTTCTCTGCACAGTCAAAGTAAGGATGGGCCTTTTAGTAATTTGGCTTCCCAAGAAAAGTTTTTGAAGGAATAACTGATCAATGCATTAATATGTGAACACTAAGGGATACAGGAAAATGCAAATGGCAAGGTGTATTTTCCAAGAAGGTCTACATCATATTGGGGAAACAAGACTTAAATACATAAAATAGAAAATTTAAGTACAAATGTTGGCGTTACTTATAAATGAAATAAATGCCTTTCTAGAAGGACATGGTCAGCATAGATTAAAGTAGTTGGGGAAGGTTTCATTGGGCAGCAGAAGATTTGTCCACCGAGGAGCCTTTCCCAAACACGTTTGTGATACAGGCAGTCCCTAGGTTACGATGGACATAACAGTATTTCAGTGGACGTAACAGCCTTAGAGTGTTTTGTACTTACAAACGGGCTCCCAAACCTCCCCGTAAGGATTACTTATAATTAAATAATTAATAATTCAGGAACTGGTTTCTTCTGCACACATAAACGAACCTGCATGGCATAGGTGGTTTGTTGATGCAGCATCTTGACCTGAGCGGTGAGTCTCATTGTCGTACGGTCGCTTATGCACAGAATTGCTTCCGTCTTCTCTTTTTTTATTCGGTTTTGTGAGTCTGTGTTTACCCTTATGACCACCCCTTCAAAGTGAAAATCCACTACAAGTCCAGGTGAGCCAGCAGCGAAGAGAAAGGTAATTACAACGGAAACAAAAGTAGAAATAATATAAGGGTTCGGAGAAAGGCCAGATGCACCATTCCTTGGGAAACATTAGGCTTCTGTCGCTTGACCAATTGTAAAGGATGAAGTAAGAGTAATGGAACATGTGAAAAGCAGTGCTCCAATGAAAGCATCAATTATTAGTAAGTGTAATAGATTAATTATTGAAATGGAAAGGTTATTGATTTGGTTAGAATATCAAAATAAACATAACATTCCTATTAGCCTAGTGTTGATACATTAGGTAAGTGTTAACCTTTAATGTCCTTTTTTGAAATTCCTCCTATTTCCTATTTAACCTTTTGGTATGAGTTTGTTTTTATGTTCTGTTTGTTTGAATGGAAAGAAAGACCATAGTAGTTTCTGAAACTTACAGTACAGGGGTATTATTATTGTTACAGTGTTACATTGTATTATTACCACATATGAGCCATTACAATGTTGTTATTACTGTATATGCACTGTTCATCAGAGAGCAGAGTTACATACAAAGGTGACCTAAAGATGTTCTCAGGAACATTAGCTCCATAACCTAGGAACTGCCTGTACTAAATTGGTACTTTCTTATTACCTTCTAATGTTAAGCTTTTTGACATTAGAGCTATGCACCATTTGGCAAAGACAATAACTTGAATTAAAAATACTTTTAACTTATTCAGATGCTATGTCCTACACCATTATCTTAGAGAATGGTTTTTTGTTGTTGTTGTTGTTATCAAATGGTGACCATGGTTTTATTACTGTTTGACTTGCTCGTTTATCCTTTAAATATATATAATATTGCCTTGACTGACTGACAAGAAAAGTAGCATTGCCTTCCGAGGGTGTTTTGGTAATATATAAGAAGAGCCTTAAACATGTATAACCCTTTGACCCAGGAAATCCACTTCTAAGAACTTATCCTCAAGAATTAGCTATGTGTACTGATATTTATTTGCAAGGATGCTAGTTGTAGTGTTAATTGTAACAGCAAAAAAAAAAAAAATGAGAAGAAACTTAAATTCCAGCCATTGGGCTTAAAATAAATTATGATCATATAATGAACTACTATGAATTCTTTAAACAAATATATTTTAGAAACATACTTGGACGAAGGTTACATAATAGCTTATATGATATTATGGGTTTGAAAAAAACCTAAATATTTGTCTTCATGGAATAGAAAAAAGTCTAGAAGGTTATATATCAAGATGTTGTTGTCTGGGTGGTAACATCGTATATAATTTTTATTTTTATAAATTTCTGTATATCCTCTCATGAACCAGTTTTGGTTTTATAATGAGGTGAATAATAAATGTCTTTTAACATAAAAAATAGCATTTCAGTTAATGGTCTCTGCTGAATTTGATAAGACTTGAAATAATCACCAACTTTCTTTGGATTTTAATTCTATGCATACTCTTCCCTTCAGCTATTCATATCAAACTTTCAGGGTTCTAGGAATTCTCATTGGAAAAGGAGAGTAGAGAATAGAAAGCATATAATTTTTAATTTCACTGCTCAAAGTTAATCAATGTGGCAGTAAGAGAGGATGAGAGATAGCTGAGTAAATGCAGTTCTTATTTGTGCTTTTGAAAATAGGCATTTTTTTCCTTATTGAGAGTCATTGAGAGAACTTTTTTGACTGCATCAAAACTAAAGTGTACAAAAGACACTGTAAACAAAATTCAGCTGTTTGAAATGCAAATGACAAGGATTAATACTGAGTTACATGTCACTTAATGACAGGGTTACATTCTGAGAAATGTGTTGGTAGGCCATTTTGTTGTGTTAACATCATAGAGTGTACTTATACAAACCTAGATGGTATATATAGCCTACTGCACACTTAGGCTGTGTGGTATAGCATGTTGCTTCTAGGCTACAAACCTGTACAGCATGTTACTGTGCTGAATGCTGTAGGCAGTTGTAACACAGTGGTAAGTATTTATGTACCTAAACATAGAAAAGGAACAGTAAAAATATGGTATAAAAGATAAAAAATGGTACACTTGTGTAAGGCACTTAACCATGAATGGAGCTTGCAGAACTGGAAGTTGCTGTGGGTGAGCCAGTGAGTGAGTGGTGAATGAATGTGCAGGCCTAGGACATTACTATACACTACTGTAGACTTTATAAACACTGTGTGCTTAGGCTACACTAAATTTATCTAAAAATTTCATCTTCAATAATGTTTTAACCTTAGTCTACTGTAAGTTTACTTTATAAATGTCTTCATTTTTTAAAATTTTTGACTCTTATAATACTTACCTTAAAACGTAAACACATTTGTACAGCTATACAAAAATATTTTTCTGTTTTTTTTTTTTTGAGATAGGGTCTCACTCTGTTGCCCAGTCTGGCATGCAGTAGTATGTCCATAGCTTACCGCAGCCTCAGATACCTGGGCTCAACCAGCCCTCCTGCCTCAGCCTCTCAAGTAGCTTAGACTACTTGTACTTGGGCACAGGCCACCACACTCAGCTAATTTTTTTTTTTTAATGTTTTATAGAGATGGGAACTTACTGTGTTGCCCAGGCAGTCTTCCTGCCTTGGCATCCCAAAGTGCCTGGATTATAGGTGTGAGCTACTACACCCAATCCAAAAATATTTTCTTTCTTCGTATCTTTATTCTCTAAGCTTTTTTCTATTTTTAAATTCTTTTGTTTTAACTTTTTAAACTTTTTTGTTAAAAACTAAGGCACAATCACACACATTAGCCTAGAGCTACACATGGACAGCATGCTCATCAAGATGTCACTGGGCAAGAGGAATTTTTCAGCTTCATTACGATCTCAGGAGACTGACATTATATATGTGGTTCATCATTGACTGAAATGTCATTATTCGGCACATGACTTTACTTTTATTGAATAGTTACACCTCGTGAATACTTATCATCTGATTACCACTGTCAAGGTATCAGTGCTTTATAATCTTTCAAGTTTAATATTTACTTCCAGTGGTTCCAAAAATAGTTTTTTAAATTTAGTTTCTAAATTTGGATGATACATTTTATGTATAAGCATCACTCTTCAGTATATCTCTTGTATTATTATCAGAGCTAATTTTATTTCAGCTGTGGAATTTGTACTCTCTTAGAAAATGATTAAGTCTAACAGCAAGATTCTTCACTTATGGAATTGATGATTAATTAAGTTTTTAATATACCATGCTTCAATATGATGTAATTTATGATATTAAAAAATACTATACTAGTCGAAAAGGAAAGCCTGAAGGACCTATCTAAATGTAGGAGAGTGAAATTAACAAAATTGATATTTTTGAGATCAGTGTTTACCTCTTCCCCCAGAAATAATGACCTTTTTTGAGATCACATTATCTCAGTCAGTACTGATGAATTTTTGTCTTAGTATCTCTTATCAATGTTGTATCTTAAATCAGAGTAAACTGACCAACTAAGACCTTAGGAATTTATTTTGTCATATTCTTCCCCTGTGTGCTACTGTAACCACATCTGCCTGGTTCTAAACAAGGTTAAGATTTTATATTTTTAGAGCTAGGCCCTGGTCACAAATGAGCCCAGATGCCTCAGCCGTCAGGCGAGCACTGTCAGTGACAGCAGTGTCCTCTAGCGGCAGCTGTGGTGACTGACGAGCGCTCGTCCATCTGAGAGTGCCCCATGGCGCCAGACGATTGGTAACAGTGCAGGCATGTGTGCCCAGTGTGGTCAGGTGTCATTTTTTAGGGAGTGGAGAGGGGCCTGAAAAATCAGATTATTCTGTTTAGTGTCACCACATTTAAATGTTGACATTAAGAACTTTTAAAATAGTCTTAAATGATTTTAAAAATACTATCAGAAAAAAATCTGCAGGTTCCTAGTTTAAAGTTTATTGGCCCTAAAGGCATGAAACAGATTTTTAAATTTTGAGTTGTTATAAAAAGTTTTTATATGGTTAGTGAAGAAATATACATATCTACTGTGTCCAGACACTATCCTGAGTGCCAGGACTGCAGAGGTGAAAAAGATCAGGCTCTGTTGTTTTATAAATACAAAATAATTTCAGATGCTAGTTAGTGTTATAAAAAAAAATAAAACAGTACTATGATAATGGCCTGAGTGAGCTGCTTTAGAACAGCGTTGGCATAAGCCCATTTGGTGGTTGGAGTTTTTGTTTCAGTTGTATTCTTACCATCTCCCCCCACTTCTGGCACTTGCCCTTTGGAATATTAGTTATGATTTGGAGGATTCCATTTTTCCTGTGCTAATTGTGTTTTATTTCTTTTAAGTCATTAGAAAACATAAGCATATTTAATTCTTTGGTTTTAAACTTCTTGTGTTCTCTCTTTTCAAAGGGATTTTGCTATAGGAATCTGTAACAAAATCAGTGAAATGATTCAAGGTATGTATGAGTTATTTAGTATTATGAAGCGACTTAATAGGATTTTTATTTATAATAGTTGCTAACATTTGTTACTTGGTATGTGCTAGTCACTAAACATTCAAATAATATTTGTAATAAATATTCATAATATTTATGAAGTTCCTCTGTATACCAAAACAGTTCTGTATACAAAACGAAGTCCTTTCCCTCATGTAACCTACATTCTAGTCGGGATGGGACTAGATAGATAGATAAATACAAATACAACATATCCCATGCTATGGAGAAAAGGTGAGATAAAAAGGATAGAGAGTTGGTAGGGTGGGAGTGGAGCTTTTCTATTTTATACATATTGATCAGAGAAGGCCTCTGATAAGGTGATATTTGAGTGAGACAAGAAGGAGAGAAAGGAGTAAGCCACACAGATATAGTCATGTGTTGTGTGACAGTGTGGATACATTCTGAGAAATGCATCTTTAGGTGATTTAGTTGTGCAAACATCATAGAGTGTACTTACACAAATCTAAATGGTATAGCCTACTTTACATCTAGACTATATGGTATAGCCTACTGCTCCTAGACTGCAAACCTGTACAGCATGTTATGAGTGAGTTGATATGAGCTATACAGAAAGCCTCATGGGGTGCTGGGGTATTCTGTGTATCTAAGTGAGGTAGATGCATATATATGTGTGTGTGTGTGTGTATATTTGTTTTGTTTTTTTGAGACAAAGTCACACCTGTTGCCTGGGCTAGGGTGCAGTGGCGTCATCATAGCTCAGTGCAACCTCAAACTCCTGGGCTCAAGCAGTCCTCCTGCCTCAGCCTCCCAGGTAGCTGGGACTACAGATGCATATCATCACGCGTGGCTAATTTTTCTATTTTTTATAGGGATAAGTTCTCAATATGTTACTCAGGCTGGTCTCGAATTCAGTCAGTTCAATCAATTCAGTCAATCCTCCTGCCTCGGCCTCCCAAAGCACTAGGATTACATGCATGTGCCACTGTGCCTGACCATCTACATGATATTTATATTGGTATATACATGTATAGAAATTCATTAATCTGTACACTTAAAAGTGATTACTTAATTGTTCCTTAAGTTTTATCAAAAAAAAAAGTAAAAGAACAGGAATTAGGAGGAGAGAGGTAGAGAAAACACGGGGGTTATAGGTGTGAGAAAGGTGGAGGAAGATTGGAGCCCAAAATATGGAAATGGCAGAGGAGTTTTAAGAGCAGTATTCTGACATTAATTTTAAGCTGCTTGTGTGTCTGCAAAGTAATAAAATCTCTGAGTGTCTCTAAATTTTCAGTAAAGGTACCTGTAAACACAAAGAATCTCTCTGACTACTGGGTTGAGAATAGAATTCCAGTGGAGGAAAGAGAAATATAAGGCAGGAGTCTACCATGGGGAAAGGCCCAAGTAGGGAGAATACTTAGGAGACTTTCAATAATTTGGTCAAGAGATGGTAGTGGAAATGGATCAGCATGATAACAATGGAGGTGGAAAGACATAGTCAGATTTGGATTATATTTGAAGATAGAACCACCAAAATTTACAAATAAATTTGGAAATGGGATATGAGAGAATCCTTTCACTAATCAAAAAAGACTCTGATGGGAAGAAAGTCTTGTGAAGGAAAAATAAAAAAGAAAGACTCCGAGGTCTAAGCTGTAATGATGAAGTTGTCATTTACTGAGATGGGAAAATTTATGAAGGGACAGTTTGGGGGTAAAGATCAGAAGTTCTCTTTGGGCCCTATTAAATACATAATGCTTCTGAGGCCCTTTTTGTTATGACAAGAGACGAATGTATCTAGCTCTTACTCTCTAAACTTGTATCTTGCTCTTGCCCTGTAAACCTATCTTGTCCTTCCTCAATAAACTTCATTTCATGCTTGCAAAAAAAAAAAAAAAAAAATGCCTCTGAGACATCCTAGTGCAGATAACCAGAAGGTAATGGGATATATGCATCTGAAGTTCTGGGGTGGCAAGGAGGTGTGTGTGGCAGTCTTTAGCATTTAGCTAGTAATGGAATCCATAGGGTTGTATCAGCAACACAGGGAAAGTACATAGGGTGAGAAGAGACTTTATTACCAACCCAAGGGAATCCCAGAAATTAAAGTATAGATGGAAGAGAAGACTACAAAGGAGATTAAGAAGAAAGACCCAGAGAAAGAGGGCAGAAACCAGGGAACTAGTGAAAAAGCAGAAGCCATTCATTGAGAGAGAGTTTCAAGGATAGAATGGTCAGCAATGTCAGATGCCTTTGGAACTTACATTGTCAAAATAATAATGACATGAGCATGGTGTAACCCTGCAGAGAGGACACCAGAGAAAACTCTGACCTCATTCTTCTCCCCCCCATCTCCTGCTGGAACTCACTGCCTTGGCCAAACCCACATAGAGGCCAAATGTTATAACAAAGGAGTTTGTTGATATAAGCTACCGTTGGATGATGACATGCTATCTTAGATTCATACCAACAGTTACTTCACATTGTGAAAACCAATGATCTGCAGAGTATAAATTAGCTTTTGACATGTATGTGGTACAGGATGGTTAAGAAATTTTTGTTCTGTCATCACAAAGCCATGCTATAGAAGAAAAGATTTTTTGGTTTTTTAGCTCCAATGTTGAAAGGAAATGATATATTAGGTCTTCATGGAATTCTAGCTGTATATGCAGTGAAGGAAGGCATTTAGTATACAAATAAAGTTCAGAGGACTTCAGAATGATTGTACACATAGTCTGTTCATATCTTGGTCCTGATTTAGTTGTTGAAGGAAATAATTAAAATTATAAATATAATCAAACTGTAGCTATCAAATGTGTCTGTATGTATACATGTGTGGAGGGGCAGTTTTTTAAATACTTTTAAAAACTTTAAGGGACACTGTAATATTTTTAATAACATGAGAAGAAAATGAGTTTGCTTTCCACTGAGCTGCTTAAAGGCATTTTTTTACTATTGGTGTGTAATTTTATAATCACTGGAAAGTTAATATTTAAATACTTTTGAAAAAAACTGTTGAAATTACTGGTTGGCTCTAGTACAATTATCTTTAATGTTACAAACATGATATTAGTATACTATTTGTTTTTAATTGAACATTTTTGCTAATTGAATTAGACCTTTTAAATCTGAAAGATTAAGGATGATGGTCAGAAATCTCTGAGAATTCTTTCTGTGTCTAGGACTAGCCACGCCAGTAGACTTGAAGCTGAAGTTGATTCCCATTCTGCAGCACATGCACCATGACGCGATCCTGGCGTCCAGTGCCCGTCAGCTGCTACAGCAGCTGGTCACGTCCTATCCTTCCACCAAAATGGTGATTGTGTCTTTGCACACTTTCACTCTGCTTGCAGCTTCATCTTTGGTTGATACACCCAAGCAGGTAATTCCAGTTTTCTTTAAACTGCCTTTTCTTCAGTGAACTTGAATATTAAATATATGATAAAAAAAAAAAAAATAAGGAAGTAGCCCCTAAGTTTTGATAGCGTTAAAGATCCCTTTCTCTGGCCGGGCGCGGTGGCTCACGCCTGTAATCCTAGCTCTCTGGGAGGCCGAGGCGGGCGGATTGCTCAAGGTCAGGAGTTCGAAACCAGCCTGAGCAAGAGTGAGACCCCGTCTCTACTATTAATAGAAAGAAATTAATTGGCCAACTAATGTATATAGAAAAAATTAGCTGGGCATGGTGGTGCATTAGTCCCAGCTACTCGGGAGGCTGAGGCAGGAGGATCACTTGAGCCCAGGAGTTTGAGGTTGCTGTTAGCGAGGCTGACACCACGGCACTGATTCTAGCCTGGGCAACAAAACGAGACTCTGTCTCAATAAAAAAGGTCACCAGTGTTCTTAGAGCTAAAGCCAGAAGCTTTTTCTTCCTTTATCATCTTTGCTTCTTAATATATTTGACACTGTCAACCTGCCCCTTCTCTTGGCCTCTTTGACACTTAACTGTCCTTAGTCATTCTTTCCACTCTCTAAACTATACCTTCTCTGTATTCTTCACCGCCCCTTTTCCTCAGAGTTGAGTCGCTGACCCTCTGCTTTCTTCCATTTTTTCTCCAGCATTCTGATGGTCTTCCTTAATGCCAGAGTGGCGCCTTCAACAGTCTACTCCTTTTACCCAAGCTTCTGCATTACTCTCTAGCATAGTAGCTTATATGGGGTTGCACAGCACTTTGACTTTTGGTGGCTATTTAATCTTACAAGACAATTGGCATCACCCCACTTATATTTGATTTTTAATTTTAATTCAAGTTTTTAAATGCAGATACATTCATGTCAAAATTCCAAAACTACAAAAAAATGCGTAGTGAATATTTCCCGTTTATTATTCTTCTGTCCACACAGCTCCTTTGCCCAGTGGAAACCAGTGTCTTGCATATTTTACTGGAGATATTTTACATGAAAACCAGCAATTCTTTTTTTTTTTTTTTTTTCAGTCTGTTAACGCCTATCAAAACTTAGGGGCTACTTCCTTATTTTTTTTTATCATATATTTAATATTCACGTTCACTGAAGAAAAGGCAGTTTAAAGAAACTGGAATTACCTGCTTGGGTGTATCAACCAAAGATGAAGCTGCAAGCAGAGTGAAAGTGTGCAAAGACACAATCACCATTTTGGTGGAAGGATAGGACGTGACAGCTGCTGTAGCAGCTGACGCGGCACACTGGAGCCGAGGATCGCGTCATGGTGCATGTGCTGCAGAATGGGAATCAACTTCAGCTTCAAGTCTACTGGCGTGGCTAGACCTAGACACAGAAAGAATTCTCAGAGATTTCTGACACATCCTTATCTTTCAGATTAAACAGGTCTAATTCAATTAGCAAAAATGTTCAATTAAAACAAATAGTATACTAATATCATGTTTGTAACATTAAAGATAATTGTACTAGAGCCAACCAGTAATTCAACAGTTTTTTTCAAAAGTATTTAATATTAACTTTCCAGTGATTATAAATTACACACCAATAGTAAAAAATGCCTTTAAGCAGCTCAGTGGAAAGCAAACTCATTTTCTTCCTCATGTTTATTAAAAATATTACCAGGTCCCTTAAAGTTTTTAAAAGTATTAAAAAAAACTGCCCTCCACACATGTATAACATACAGACACTTTGATAGCTAACAGTTTGATATATTTATAATTTAATTATTTCCTTCACACAACTAAATCACGGACAAGATATGAACAGACTATGGTGATCAATCATCTGAATCTACCTATTATTTGTAATACTAAAGCCTTCCCTTCACTGCATATACAGCTATTCCATGAAGACGCTAATATACTCATTTCTTTCAACATTGGAGCTAAAAAACCAAAAAATCTTTCTTCTAGCATCGGACTCTTGTGATGACTAGAACAAGCAATTCTCG